TTTTTATTCTTAAAAATTGCAGCAACAGGAATGTTGAAAATATGTTGAAACTTCTTCTCCACATGTAGCTTAGACAAAATCTTCATTATCATCAAATTTGTTGCAAATTGATTTGAAACCACTTGAACCTTTCTTCAATCTTGTTGAACCGTAGGATCACCGGATCTTTGAACCATGTGCTCTGACACCACTTGTTGGGTTCTGAAGGGTGATTAGAGCGTCATGCGGAAACTTACAATTTGCAAATTATATAGTTGATAAATCAGATAACAAAAACTTATACTAAAAATCAAAATATTATTATATCAAAACTAATATAAAGAAAAACATTGAAACTTTAGAGAGAATAAATCTCCCCATAAACAAAAGTCTTAAACGACTACATTGTGGATGTTATTGTTATTGTGTTAGAAGAAACAAACCTATATTTATAGAGTCCTAAAACCTTTCCTACTAGAAAAGGAGAGAATAAACCAAATATAAAATAATATTATATTTTCCTTTCAAGAAAAGTAAAAACATTTATGGTAATGTTTTGCTTTTTCTTTAAGGAAAATAAACCTTAAATTATGGTAAGAAAATCAGGTCAAAACCCTAACAAAACATGGAGTTTACTAAAACCATAAATCTTTTCTGTCATTATTATTAGAAAAATCAAATCTTTCACTACAAAACAATTTAGCGTTCTCTGTTTGCTTTTATTTGTCATGTTTCATTTCACGATAATTGAATTGTATGAATTTTGAATAACAGTTTGATAATTATTTTTTCAAATTATAATATTTTTCGTATAGTTTTCGAATATGAAAAATTTAAATCTAAAAGAGTGAATTAATCTAGTTCTATTCAGCTCTGAAAATTAATCAAATTGACTCTCATAAATTAAAACGTAATAAGTAAAAAGTGAACACAAGGAATATAAGGCGATAAGATCTTACTTTTGAAGCTCACCAGTCACCACACCCCAACCCCTTTAAATAATGAATCAATCTAATTTAATTCAGTTTCGAAAATTAGTTAAATTTATATTTTCGTAAATCAAATCGGGATAAATAAAAATGAACTGAAGGAGAAATAGTATAATAACAATCCTACTTTTGATGCTCTCCACCCCCACCCCACCCCCCATTTAAAATAATGAATCAATCCAATTCTATTCAATCTCGAAAATTAGTTAAATTCACTTTCGTAAATTAAAACGTGATAAATAAAAGTAAACATTGAGAGTATAATAAAAATCCTACTTTTGATGCTCACCACACCCCAATCCTTTAAGTAGTGAATAAATCTGATTCAATTTAACTCCAAATATTAGTTAAACAAACTCTCGTGAATTAAAACGTGATAAATAAAATGAATGTAAGAAGAGGTATAATACAATTCTTACTTTTGGTGCTCCCCACCCCACCCCATTTTAAATAATGAATCAATCAAGTTCAATTCAACTTTGAAAATTAGTCAAACTGACTCTCGTAAAATGAAACGTGATAAATAAAAGTGAATGGAGAGATGATAATAAAAATCTTACTTCTGATGCTCTCTACCCCACCCCACCCCACCCCCATTTTAAATAATGAATCAATCCACTTTAATTCAACTTTAAAAATCAGTCAAATTGATTCACCTGAATTGAAACGTGATAGGTAAAAATGATTGGAGAGAGGATGATAAAAATACTACTTCTCATGCTCTCCGCCCCATCCCCATTTTAAATAATGAATCAATCCAGTTCAATTCAGCTTAAAAAATTAGTCAAATCGACTCTCGTAAATTTAAACGTGATAAATAAAAGTAAACGGCGAGAGTATAGTAAAAATCCTACTTCTGATGCTCTCCACCCAATCAAATCCAGTTCAATTCAGCTTCGAAAATTAGTCAAATTGAATCTCGTAAATTGAAACGTGATATATAAAATTGAATGGAGAGATGATCATAAAAATCTTACTTTCTGATGCTCTCCACCCCACCCCCATTTTAAATAATGAATCAATCCACTTTAATTCAGCTTAAAAAAATAGTCAAACTGACTCACCTAAATTGAAACGTGATAACTAAAAGTGATTGGAGAGAGGATAATAAAAATACTACTTCTCATGCTCTCCGCCCCATCCCCATTTTAAAAATGAATAAATCCAGTTCAATTCAGCTTAAAAATTAGTTAAATTGACTCTCGTGAATTAAAGCGTGATAAATAAAAATAAACAGAGAGAGTATAATAAAAATTCTACTTTTGATGCTCACCACACCTCAACCCTTTAAATAGTGAATCAATCTGATTCAATTTAGCTTCAAAAAATTAGTCAACCGACTTTCATAAATTAAAATGAACGGAAGAAGAAGTATAATAAAAATCCTACTTTTATGCTCTCCACCCCCACCCCCAACCCCACCCCCACGGCCCTATTACTCCTCCACGCTTCCTCTCTCATGAAAATACCACCCCATTCCAACAGAGAAATACAGAGAGAAAGAGCAAAAATACAAAAGAGACACCAACTCATTTGCCACTCTACCCCGAAATATAAAAACCCTAATTTCCCTCTGTTTTTTCTCCTTTCCCAACTCTTTCCCCACTCCCCACTCCCCACTCCCTCTCTCACCACCCACCTACCCTAATCTCTCTCTCTGTCTGAAGTCTGAACTCTTTCTTGAATTTCTATGGTGCTCTCTCCATAGTCATCCTTAAGCTTTTCTTCCTTTTACCCTTTTTCAGATTTTCCTTCTTTATCTCAATGCCTCATTTTTAGCACTTAAATCACATTCTCAGCCCAATGACTCTCTCTCAATCTCTCTCTTTACTCCTCCTTGTACTTGTGTTTCGACTCAATGGGTCTTCTGCTGCAGAAGATGAAGTTCGATCACTTTTGGAGTTCAAAAAGGGTATTAAAAACGACCCATTAAGTAAAATCTTCAGTTCATGGAGTCAAACGGGTCTTTCAAATCTATCAGCATGTCCAAAGTCATTTCATGGTGTCGTTTGTGATGAAAACTCCGATTATGTTTTCTCCATTTCTCTTGACGGGCTTGGGCTTGTGGGTGACTTGAAGTTCTCAACTCTTAGTGGGTTGAAGCAGCTCAAAATTCTTAGTCTTTCTGGTAACTCTTTTACGGGTAGGGTTGTTCCTGCTTTGGGTTCTATGTTAACTCTTCAGCATTTGGATCTCTCTGGAAATCAGTTTTATGGACCAATTCCAGCACGAATTAATGAGCTTTGGGGTTTGAATTACCTCAATTTGTCCAATAATAATTTTACATTTGGTTACCCAAGTGGAATTAGTAATCTTCAGCAGTTGAGAGTACTGGATTTGCATAACAATGGGCTTTGGGGTGATATCGGGGAGTTGTTTTTGGAGTTGAAGCGTATTGAGCATCTTGATTTGAGTAACAACTCGTTTTTCGGATCTCTTCCTACGAGCCCGGAAAATGTATCGCTCTCTTCGACAATTCAGGTCATGAATTTGAGTCACAACAAGTTGGGTGGTGGTTTTTTTCCTGGAAAATTGTTGGAGGCATTTGAGAATTTGATGGTTTTGGATTTGGGGAATAATGCTATAATGGGGCAGCTTCCTTCTACCGGGTTTATGCATAATTTGAGGGTTTTAAGGCTTGGGAATAATCAGCTTTATGGATTGATTCCCGATGAGCTCTTGCAGGGAACAGGTCCATTGGAAGAACTGGATCTTAGTGGCAATGGATTTTCAGGTTGGGAAATGGATATCAGTTTTTTGGAATATTTGCATTTCTTAGATCAGTATATGTTGTTGTTGTTGAATGATCATAATCAAATACACCTTTTATTTGTATAGTGTTTTTGTGGATGCCTTGAACTTCATGCCTCTTAATTTTTGGAGGTGGACTAAAATTGGAAACTTTCTTGTGTTTTAGGCATTGAAACTTTTACAGTTATGCAAAGTTGCGGGGACTCTTCACTTTTGATGCCGCACCGTGTCGGATTTTCCAAATATACACTACTTTGTAGAATCCGACACGCACCCGTTGACATTTTTGAAGAGTCCGAGCAACATAACAGTTGTGAATGTAAAATCTCGTTCTTTTTGTTTTCTTGTCAGGTTATAATTAGTTTTCTTGTGTGAGTAGTGGTTGACAATCTATATAACAGAGAATAGAAATCTTCAGCTTACGCCAAATACAGAAAAGTTTGCTTTTTTGTGTAAGTAGGTTTTAAAAAAAATGTTTTAACAAAACCAAATTTTGAACAAACTTTTACCGCCAGCTTTTTTTGTTTGCCTCAACAGAACGTGAGCAGCGTGGACTGCATAGACTAATTTGAATTGCAAAGCATGTTCAATAGAACTTGCCCATAATAAGTAGTCAACAAAGTGTTTCCTAATTGTAGTAAATTTAATAAAAGCCCCTAATGGAATAGTTGCATGAATGATTGCATCATTAGTAGCCATAAATAATCTTTTTTGCAATGGTATAACTGTATGCTCAAAGTTCATGGCAAGCTAGCTGGAACAATATTTAGCCCAGTGTCATCAAAGGCGCGCTTAAGCCCTGAAGCAAGGCTCAAATCGTGTTGAGCGCTTCGCTTTGCTTAATGTGCGCTTCTGTGTCGTTATCAAGGTTCTAAGGCATACTTTTCCTTATGTTTATATATTTGTCATTCATGCTTAGGACTAAACATATATATTTTTATTTTTTCTCCCTTTTCGCCTTTTTCCATTAAAGCCCAATCAAACCTTAGAGCTTTTTTACTCTTTTTGCTTTCGATAAGACTGATTTAGCCTTTATCTTGAAAAGTGAAAATGTTGAATTTTTTCTTCTGCTTCCAATATCCAATGCTATAGCACAATATTTGTACCTACAGTAAAATGAGTTTTATTTCATTAATGAGCTATTTGCTCTTAATATGCTCATCTTTCTATTTTGTTATCACTGCATTACACCGTCCAGGGCTCCCCCCTTCCCTCCAGTGTAGGCCACTCATGATGACGTTGGGCCTTAGAATCAGAAAATAATTGATGACTACATTTCTTTTTTGATAAGGAATTGATGCCAACATTCCTGTCTTCATTATTATCAAATCAGTACTCAAATTAGAGAAAAGAATGGAGTTGGTGAGACTTGATTATTGAAGAAAAGCAGAGCAAATTTACAAGGGTGATAATTTGGGTCTCTGAGCTTAAAACTCCTCGGTGACAATCTGATAGGGAAGTTTGTTCTGTTTCATGAGCTACAGAGAGGGTTCACAATTTCATATTTCTTTAGTTACACTTGGATATCTTTCATCATAGGACCAGAGCGTGGTTCCACTTAGAGCCTAAATGTGGAGATCCTCTGTCCAGAAGTTGAATGGTGCCGTTGAGTGATGACTGATATTTCATTCTTCTCATCTTGCATTTATTCTTTGAGGAAGCGACTCTCAGATCAGCTAGATAGTTTTGTATACTTGTCTCACTTATATACTTTTTTGCCTTCTAATTTTTTTTTGGCTATATAGTATTTCTACCATATTATTTAGCTAGAAATAGTTGCACTTAGACCTGAAAGTTAAATTGGATGTTTAATAACAATGCACATTTTTTTCAATAATATGAGCTCTTTTTCTGTTGGACTTGTAAACTTATTCTAAAGAGATATTTAAAGTTTAATATTTCGTTTCTACGCATGCAGGTTCAATTCCGATTGTGAATTCAACAAAGTTGAGAGTTCTAAATATTTCATCGAACCACCTATTAGGTTCACTGCCATCCTCCATAGGAAATTGTGCAGTTGTGGATCTGAGCAGAAATATGCTCGTGAATGGTATATCAGCTATTGAGAGCTGGGAAGCCAATTTGGAAATTATTGATTTGAGTTCAAATAGGTTAACTGGAAATATTCCCACTATAACCTCTCAGTTTCAACTATTGACTTCACTTAATTTCGGAAACAATTCTCTTGAGGGAACCTTACCTTCAGCACTGGACACCTTGCCAAGACTGGTTAAACTTGATCTCAGCACCAATAAACTTGGTGGACCGATTCCATCTACATTTTTTACTTCGACGACATTGATGAACCTAAATATATCTGGAAATCAGTTGTCAGGATCAATTCCTCTTGAAGGCTCTCATGCTAGCGAATTACTTGTTCAATCACCATACCCTGCACTGGAGTCTCTTGATCTTTCAGAAAACACTTTAACAGGTAATTTGTCTTCTGCCATTGGTAATTTGCGGAGGCTTCAAGTGCTAAATCTTGCTAAGAATCAGTTATCAGGCATGCTGCCTACTGAATTGGGTGACCTTAGAAGTTTGGAATTCCTTGATATATCTAACAACAATTTTAGTGGTATGATCCCCGAAAATCTTTCATCAAATTTGAGGGTGTTTAATGTGTCTAACAATGAATTAAGTGGTGCTATCCCTGATAACTTGAGAAACTTTAATGAAAGTTCATTTCGTCCTGGAAACTCAAATTTGGCAATCCCAAGCAACTGGTTACATGATAATCATGGCGATCCTGATCAAAATAGTCAGCACCATCATAACTCGAAATCCAGTATCAGGGTGGCTATTATTCTTGCCTCAGTTGGAGCTGCTTTAATGATTGGTGTTGTTCTCCTGGCTTACCATCGACAACGGTTCCAAGATTTCCACTTACCAAGTGGATTTAACAGCCAATCTGCTGGAAGGGATGTTAAACTCGGGAGGTTCAGCCGGCCTGGAATTTTCAAGTTCCATGGCTCCTCAGAACCACCACCAACTTCCTTGAGTTTCTCTAATGATCACTTGCTCACAGCGAACTCGAGATCTCTGTCTGGGCAAATTGAGTCTGGTACAGAAATTGTTGAGCATGTTTTTCCAGAGGGAGTAACTGCAGTTTCAGCATCTACGCATCTTGGCACTGTGGGTAATAATCCTGCAACATCTGGCCAAAGATCCTCTCCAGGCTCTCCAATAGCTTCCTCCCCTCGTTTCGTCGACACAGTTGAACAACCGGTGACATTGGATGTGAATTCACCGGATCGATTGGCTGGGGAATTGTTCTTCCTGGATGGTTCACTGTCATTTACTGCTGAGGAGTTATCTCGTGCCCCTGCTGAAGTTCTGGGTAGAAGTAGCCATGGCACATTGTATAAAGCTACTCTGAATAGTGGGCATGTTCTTACTGTCAAGTGGTTGCGGGTTGGGTTGGTAAAAAACAAGAAAGAGTTTGCAAAGGAAGTTAAAAAGATTCGATATATTAGGCACCCAAATGCTGTTCCTTTACGAGCATTTTACTGGGGACCTCGGGAACAAGAAAGGCTTATTTTAGCAGACTACATACCAGGAGATAGTTTGGCGTTGCATCTCTATGGTAAGATTTACTTATGAATAACTTCAACAATGATTTTCCATGTCTTCCATTGTTGTTTGGTTACTGTTATTAGAAAGTTACCTTTTGCTGGTCTGGTGGGTGATTATCTTGTGTTAGGACCAATATCTAGTATCCTTCGCATAAATAGTTTCTATAGCAGCATAGCTTATTTCTTGTGGTGGTTTTCTAATTGCTGAGATCTCGTGTTTTGTGGGATTGTTTGATAAAAATTATGGAGGATAAAGTTGACTTGGCCCTATTATTTATTTTTGGTTGGCCTCTCTTGCAAATGTCCCTCTTTTACATGTCTTACAATATGCAGATAGTGATGAGATCTTATTTGGATCTGTCGTCTCTTATGAATCCAGTGGTAGAGTTGTTGATCAAATGGAAAAGGAAAAAAATACAACTGCAATTGTAGAATCTGAATGTTTTTTACAAAATTATGTTTGTTAGAATGTATGTGCAGATCTTTATGTGTCATCTGGTAACCTTCAAAGGAACTCCAAAAAGGTACAAAAGATCTCTGGTTCACTAATTGCCGTACGCCAACAGCCACACATCAATAGCCCATCAAAATTAGGGAGTAGACCTATTCTACGATCTCGTTAACATGACCTAGAATGTAGTGATAGTTGCTCAACAATCTGCTTTAAATAGCATTTCCATTGTTTCTGAGTCATTCATGATGGTAAAACTTGATAAATATGGAGAGTTGGCTTTGTCATAGTATCCCCGGTGCAGTGAGGACTGATTACTTGTAGACATGTTGGGGGCTGTTGGAATCTTTTACTTTTTGTAATTTTTCGCAGTTTTAAATTTTTAATGAATGTCTACTTTTTACAGAGACAACCCCTCGGAGGTACTCCCCGTTATCCTTCAACCAAAGGTTAAAAGTTGCCATTGAAGTTGCTCGGGGTTTGGCATATCTGCATGAGAGAGGGCTGCCTCATGGAGACTTGAAACCTACAAATATAATCTTGGTTGGTGCTGATTACAGTGTCCGCCTCACTGATTATGGTCTCCACCGCCTGATGACTCCAGCAGGGATTGCAGAGCAGATACTGAACCTAGGGGCTCTAGGATACCGTGCTCCTGAACTTGCTACTGCGACCAAACCTATCCCATCATTTAAGGCTGATGTATATGCTCTTGGTGTGATTCTAATGGAATTGCTGACGAGAAGAAGTGCTGGAGACTTAATCTCAGCACACTCTGCTGCAGTTGATTTAACTGATTGGGTTCGGTTGTGTGATCAAGAAGGTAGGGGAATGGACTGTATCGATAGGGACATCGCAGGAGGAGAAGAACACTGCAAAGCGATGGATGATCTGCTAGCTGTGTCATTAAGGTGTATTCTTTCGATAAACGAAAGGCCAAACATCAGACAAGTTGTTGAAAATCTGGGTTCCATATCTGTGTGAAATTTTTGTACATGTTGTCTTGGAATTACAATTCTTTTTTCTTTTCCTTCACATTTTTTATTATGTCCTATTGGTTGCCTTCTAATGTTGGTCAATCCTTACATATTCCCCATTTTCTTTTCCTTCCCCCCTTCAATTTTTGTGTAAAGGGATGATCAGTCCATTGATTGATTGGTTGACATTTTTCTCTAATTAGAAAAGATTGCAATTATTTATGTGTAATTTATTTTTTGCCAACAGAAATTGGCTCCTGATTGCTACTGTATGTTCATATACATTTCTTCTTTTCCATTCTGCAGTTTTGTTTCCCATTTTTTCTCCTGTTGTTCAAAATCGTAACTTAAACCAATAATTTGAACCAATTTTTTTTTATTGGTTTATCAGTAATTGGTTATTGGTTTAGGTGATTTCGATAATGGTTTTGATTTTGCTTATTGGTTTTTTAGGGTTTGAGGTTAATTGATAATTCAATGGTTAATTAATAAATTACATTCATTTCATTAGATATATAAAGTTCTTTTGACTTGGTGTTTAATTTCATATTTTTATTATTTACTGTTCCTCAAACTTTTTGTTATTCTACAAAGTGTTATTAAAAATCCCATTTTTAATGATTTTTTTGATAAGAAATTTTAATGGTTAAATTGATTATCGAACTGATAATAATGAGTAATGATTCTATAAAAGTTTAGCAAGATAACTGATAAGTCAAAAAGAGATATACTTTAAAACTGGACCGACCAATATCAGCCTGCAAATTGGACTTTTCATGATATCTGAAGGATAAAGAGAAATGTTTATTAATTGAATTAGTTAGACATGATATTAAAACTTAGAATTATTATTCAAAAAAAAGATGTGGCAACTGGCAAGAGTATTGAAGATGTCACGTTAAATTAAAATAAATTATCGCCATAGATTTAATTATTTATATTTACTTAGAACTAGCCACTAGTGGTGTATTATATATTTTTTTCAAGCTCTTATGATTATAACTTATAAGTACTCTTATCTTCTAATTATCTCTTTATGGGGTATTAGTATACTGTTTAGTTTACGAGCTTCTGTAATTAATGACCACTTTTCCACGTAAACTACGTATGGTAATACATTCAACTCATAAGTATTATGTAAAACATTAATTGTGGAGTGCAACAATATAGGATTAGCATTATTATGTATCAATTTAGAACTAAAATTAGAATTAGGGAAATTGAAAGAACAAAAGAAAAGATAATCTCATAAAATAATACATCTCTTGAGGTGTGCACCTGTTTGGTGTTCAAATCTAGTACCTTATCACATTTTGTATTGAAAGGATATCCGTGTTTTTGGGCGCAAACTTATTTTTGTGAATTTTTAGAGTCCTGAAAAATAAAGATATTCAAAAGATTTGAGATGTGAATATATAGGCTATTTTTGGTACAATATTTCGAACGAAGTTTTGTTTTGGATCAACCACATCATTTTATTGTGGTACGTATGAACACATTTTTTGATGCATAATGTCTTTGGGTTGTAAAAAAATAGTAATCTTTTATTAATAATTCTAGACCATTGTCAATTCTAATGGCCTTAATTGTGGTTTTGAACTAATTTTTGTTACCAGGAATGCAAAGGCCTTCATGATCTGTAAATTGTACATATAAAGAGTTGTTTGGATAAAAACTTGAAAGGTATGACATGAATACCCCTTATTTCCAAAAAAAAAGAAGACATGTCCTAGTTTATTTTGCCACAAGTAATCTGCATCATCTTCATGAGATGTGTATGACGAAAGAGAATTGACCGAGACAGAATAATCAACAGAAGCAGGAAAAAACTTAAATCACAATAAACTCTTTTATTACTTTAATTGACAAATATTATAGGAGAGGTAGGAGGATACAAAACTTGCTTATTCTAAATATACAAAAAGGCCAAGTAGATGATGAAATACATGAGACAACGTGTCATTATGATGCTTTGAGCACATGAAGTAGAAATCATTTCTTGCTATACCTAGTGTTTTGAGTAGCAAGAAGCAGGAAAAAATGACGAGAGGTCGCTTCAACACATTTTTATTAAATAAAACACTATTTATTACAAAAATAAAATACTCCTATTTTATGTGACACTTTTCGAATTTCGAGATTCAAACAAGTCTAATTTTGATCGTAAATTTTTCATAGATCGTTTAAACATTTTGAATTATCAATTGTTGTGACTTATACTACTTTTTACGTAGTTTACAAATATATAAATTTCATTTAAAATAAATTTAAAGATTTAATGCGCAAATTCCTGGTCAAACTTAAATTGTTTGACTCTTGAAAAATGAAAAGTGCCACATAAATTAAGACAGAAGAAGTATTAAATATGCGTAAGATAAATAACCAAGAACTCAATAGAGTAACATATTAAGCATATCTTTCAATTCTTAAATTAAAAAAAATAACAAATACTAGAAATAGGTAATCAATAGTCCTCATATGTATCATACAATATTGCAGCGCATTACCAGAGTAGATGATATTGTAAATAAAAAAAATCAGAGCATAAAAAAAGATATACAAATAAGAAAAAAAGAGCAAAATGCAGCGCAATAGCCAATAGTAGAGAAGCTTAAATAATAATAAAAAATTTCCATCAGAATCGTAATAGAAAAACAGAAAAAGAAGAAGAAGCAAAAAGAATTCAGGGCCTTGGGCAACATAGAACATGTGTATGTAAGCATAAAGAGAATATTAAACCACACATGAACATGGAAGAAACATAAATAACATTAGATCACAAATACTGACCACTGTAGTTAGTCAAAACAACACAAAGCCATCGGAGTTTTGAATCATGGGTTAAGGAGAAAAGAAAAACTAGGGAAACAGGACACGTTTAGGACGGAGGGAGAATGGAATTGAGGGTGCGCATAAGCATAGACAAACGCTCATTTGCATCTTCATGAGCCTTGATAAGTTGCTTGTTGAGAGCCTTAACTTTCTCACTGAGTGAGACATTTGTCTTCAGCAGCATTGTATTCTCATCCCTCAACTTTTGCAACACCTGCTCATTTCCATCACTGGTACCAGGTCCCCTCGAAACCGCATTCTGTAATTTAGACTTCAGTTTAGCGATTTCAACCTCTTTGTCATTCAGAATCCCAGTGAGATTAGTCACTTCCCGTTTGAGAGCAACTGGCAGCTCTAGAACATCTGTCATTTGAGATCTGCCCCTAGCTTTTCCTTGGACACACTCACATTCCAGTAGGGTAGCAGCAGTGAACATCTACTTGGTAGTACCAAATAGTGACGGAGCTAGAATTTTTAATAAGGGGGTTCAAAATTTGAAGAAGTAAACCACGAACTAATCGAAAGAGGTTCAACATTTACTATATATAGGTAAAAAAATAATGTTAACCGCGTATAAATAGTAATATTTTCCGCCGAAGGGGGTTCAGATGAACCCCCTAACTCTATAATAGCTCCGCCTCTGGTACTAGGTACTCCTCTTCCCAAAGGCACTTTAAAGTGGTTGAATACAAAATTCAGGTAACCATATGGAATCCCATGTTTTACCTTTTTCCAAGTCATTACCCTGTGCATAAGCCTGGCAACGGAATCGGGAGGTGCCGGTTCTGGTTTCGGTCCGTTACCGGTTCCCTCTCGATTCCGGTTAGTCCCGGTTAGGTTCGGAACGTAGCGGGTCCGGGAGGGTTAACGGTACGGAAACCGGGATTTACCGGTTAGTTCCGGTTTCGGTCCGGTCCGGTTAGTTTTTTTTTTTTTAAATCTTAATTAAATTATATAGCCGTTGAGAGCCGTTGGGCAACGGATTTTGGGCCCCACCAACGATTCTTTCACCCCCATAACTCTCCTTTACACCTCCCTACCCCTCAAACTTTTTTTAATACCCAACCTTCTAAAAACTATATTTTTATCCTTTTTTTAAAACTATAAATACCCCCAATCTTTCATTCTTTTCACTCACAAAAATATTATCTTCTACTCTCTCTACTCTCTAATCTCTTATTCTCGTTAAAATTATGAATTTGGTCTTTGAAAATTGGAGCTTCAAAATTCAACTTTCAATTTTCGGCTTTCGGTCATACATGTCTACTTTTTTAAATAGATGTTTGGTACATTCGTTCCAACTCACTTTTCATTTAGTTATTTATTTGTTTGCATTTAATTATTTATTTTGTGAGTAATTAGTCTCTAGTCTCTATTTATTTAGTTATTTATTTTTTTAAAACTTTGCATTACATTTTCGTATTATAAATAATTTACTCATTTTTTATATTTGAATATAGATTTTCGGTAAAAACAAAGGGTAAAACAACCATAGTTAATTCGTTCACTAATTTATCTACCTCAAAATCTAAGAAAAATAAAAAAATCGGTAAGTACTTCTAAATCTAAACTAAAAACACTTCTCAGTTAAGAATAAATACGGATGATTATACGCATGTTAATGAAACTATTTTTAATAGTGGATTAGATCCTTATCATGAATATTTACGAAGAAGGTTTGATAATTTTGATGAGGAATTACCTGAAGATGATGAACATGATGATGTTAATAGTTATATTGATAGTTTTGATAATAATGTTGATGAATATGATGATGATGAAACTTAGCCAGCTACGGTTACTCCTACTCCCAATCCCTCTTCCCCTCTCGCTCCCTTTCATTGTCCTGCTTCTGCTCCTCCCGTGCATCCTAGGACTAAGGTAGAACGCGCTAAAAAATCAGTTGTGTGGCAATTTATAACTCAGAATGAAGATAAAACACAAGCTATTTGTAATAAATGTAAACATAGAATGAATCATAAAACTGAAGGAAAACAGGGTGGGACGGGACATTTCAGTAATCATTTAATGTCATGTTGTAAAAATGAATTTTTGCATGCTAATGCTGTAGCAGAAGCTAAAAAGAATGGTACCAATCACGATAAAATTGGAGTATTTGTGAGAGGTGCAAAGGCACAACATCACGATAATATTTTCAATAAAAAAGAAGAGGGTCTCAATCGGGGAAAATATGAGTGGAATGCCAGTTTATCAAAACAGTAAGCATTTAGCATGTAGATGAAAAAAAAAAATACCATATAGACATTTTATGGAAAGTGATAAATAAATACACGAATAAGAGGAAATAGATGTGCAAACACTTAAAGAAATTAAGCAATTAAGGAAAATGAGAAATGATTAAGCATGGAAGTATGCAAACATGCAATTT